TTGTATTACATGTACCTTCTGGGCAGTCTTGGGAATTTCTTGGGGCAGTCTGGAGGCCCTATTGGGCCGTGTTGGGGCTCTCGTCGGCTATTTGGAAACCGTCTGGGAGTCCTCTTAGAGCGTTGTGGGGCCATCGTATGTCTTGTGGGCCCTTCTTGAGCCATCTTTCGCCTTGCGGGTCATATTGGGACGAGCTTGGGTGTCTCTTGGGCAATCGCGGGGCGAGTGCGTCGAAATGGTATGAAAAAATGCTAAAACTCGTGGTGTTTGTCTCCTCGGGGCCGTTTGGCTGTCCTCTTCGGGCCCCCTGGGGCCATCAAGAGGGCCTGTTGCCCGGTCTTGCGGCCAGCCTGGGCCGTCTTGATCGGTTCAAGGGTCGCCTCGGGGCCCTTTGTCTGCTTCGTGGGCCCTCTGGGGCCAGCTTGGGCCCATCGGGGGCGCTCGGGACGCAGCCTCCCCGGCCGCGGCCGAAGCGTCGTGCCGGAACAGCGTTCTGTGATTGGGGGAACGCTTGATATCAGGACAGTTGCAGGGCTCGTTTCGGTTCCTCCGATTCGGTTCGATTCGACGCCGATGGTTTCCGATGCCGATTCGATTCGAGTTGGGATTCAGATTTGGGTTCGAATGTCTTCTTGGAGGCATACGAGCCTGCCGAGTTCCGCCGATCCGACTTTTCCCGATTCGGCTGCCGATTTCTGCCGATCCGATTCGTGCCGATCGCCGATCCGACTTATCGATTCGATGATTGGCTGTCTTGCAGTTGCATATGTGTATATTATGTATATATCAACCCATATATACAATGTATAAATTCGTATGTATATATATGCATATGTTAACATGGATGTGTGTGTATGTGTACATGTGTATATAGAAGTTCAACATATGTGTATCTATATATATATATATATATATTAGAGATACATTTCAGGATATGGGGCCGAACGGTCTCACACAATTCCTGGATGCGTGGGTGAAGTGGGATTCTGTGGCCTGGGTTCTGCTTGTTTGTGGTTTGTTATTTTTGTCATTGGCCTCGCCCGGCGCAACTCGCTAACCACTTCCCAGTGCCAAGGCGTCAACGGCCCGAGTTTTTCCCAGGCACCCCGCCCCGCGGAGCAGAGCGGCACGCAGAACGCGTCGCCGGGGTTGTCGCCGCGACACGATAAGCAAAAGTTCCCGACCGTACGGGGTGTCCCTGGGTTGTGTGGTCTTTGATGGGGGCCTCAGAGGATCTGGCGGATTTCGTCCAGAGTTCGCCGGATCTGGTCGACACGTGGACGAAATTTGGACGAAGTCTGGACGCAAGGGTGAAGAGAGGCGGTCGAAATCGGGACGAAATCCAGTGGAAAGCGCGTTTCTGATGTGGCCGCGGAGGCAGAACGAACGAACGAGCGAACGACCAGCGCTGCGGACGCCGTCTGGGCCTAGCTAAGACCAGGCGGGCGAGGCCGTGGCCTCAGGAATCTGGCGCGTCTGAACAACATGCAGTGCGAGATGCATAAACATTCTTGACGCTTCGCGTATCCCCACCATGGCATGGCACCTGGATTGCATCGTCTTCCCTGGACGCTGTCGTGAGCCGCCTGATCCGCGGCCCTGCGCGCGTTAGGTAATTTAGTCGCGTCCGCGGCCCGTTCGCGACCTTCCGCCGCTGGCGCTTCCGCCTGCGGCTGTATATATATATATATATATATATATTATATATATATATATCATACGCACCTCTCCGAGGGAGTAGAGCTCAGAGGCGATTAGTGCGTCCGTCGTTCGCGATTTTTCTGGCCGTTTCGCTCGGGACATCCTCGAAATTCTGAAAATCGGTGGCACCCCTCACGCAGATCGTGACGTCAGGGTCCAAAAACACATAGGATTTCCAACATTTTATCATAAAACCTTCAAAAACACATGGTAATTTCAATGATTTTGACTCCGATTCTCAGAGAATGGCGGTTTCGCCTGAGACATCCTCCCAAAATCGAGCCCCAGACCCCTCCTCGGAGCCTCCTGGGGGCCTCCTGGAACCTCCTGGGGCCTCCTGGGGCTTTCTGGACCTTCTGGTACCCCAGACCCCGCCTCGGAGCCTCCTGGAGTTCTCCTGGGCCTGCTGAGGCCGCCTGGGGCCTCCTGGGGCCTCCTGGGGCTTCAGAACTACATGCACACACAGAGACACAAATCACGCCCAACACATCACACGCTAGACAAACATAACATACACACACAACACCGACAACACGCAAAAAGCACGCACCACACAAAGCACACATCACACACACACAACACTCACAATCCTGGGGCCTCCTGGAGCCTCTTCTGGTATCCAAGTCGGGCCTCCTGAGGCTTCCTGGGGGGCCCTGGTACACACATCGCAAGGTGTGGCAACCCCACTTGCGCTCGAGTGCGACTTCGCTGTTGCATGTCACTCCTGCTTCAAACGCCCCTTTCAGCTTGTTGTATGAGCCTGGGCACACACGTGCCACTTGTATATATAAATCCCCACCATATGCGCGCCATGTTGGCCGCGCCTGGCTCACCTGGATGCCTGACCTCTCAGACTCCCTGGGTTGCAGCTTGCACGACCGCCTCAGGTGGCTGACCTTTCAGATCCCCTGGGACTGCACGACCGCCTGGCCCCTCAGACGCGCTGGGTTGCCGCTGCTTTGCCGCCTGATCCGCGGCCCCGCGCGCGCCCGGGAATTTAGTCGCGGCCGCAGCCCGACCGTGACTGCTCGCCGCCGGCGCTTCCGCCTGCGGCTGTAAAAAATTGTATATGTATATATATATATATATAGATATATATATATATATATATACATTTATATGTATATATATATATATATATATTAAAAATGGTTTTACTGCCGTTTGCAGTCTTGTCGGTGATGAGGTTGCCCCAATTCGCTCTTGCGCCGACACGATGTTGTGGCATTTGTGTCGCCTACTTCACGGATGTCGTCTGGGTGTGCTTGTCGGTCTAGTTCGTCTCTGATTGTGCTGTTTGCCTGACTCACACCGAGCGATCGACCTCTGCGTGTTTATGGTCGCGCCGCCGCGCCATTTTGGCTGCGCTTACTTGCTGGTCGCCACCGGGATTTCCAACTCCACAGGGTCTGGGGGGGCGGTTCTGGCTCTCCTTCTGAGTGGCTGCCCGCTCGCTCGCTTCGTTTGCCTTTCTTTTCCTGCTGCCTAGTCGCGGCCCGACTAGTGTTCGGACGGCTTTCGGCCCGCCTCGCGAGCCTGTTGACCAAAACGTATCCCCATCATGTTGGACGGCGTCCGGCGTCTCCGGGTGCGCTTGCGATCAAAAAGTATCCCCACCATCCCTTCCAGAAGCGATGCCCATGAGAGTTGACGGGGGGAGCGAGGAAGAGGCACGCATAGTCAAACAGAGAGGGAGGCGTGGGAGGTTCCGTGGCCATCTCGAGCCGTCTTGGAGCAGTCTTGGGGCCGTTAGGAGCATCTTGGGAACCATCTTGAGCCAGCTTGGGCTATCTGAACGATTTTGGAGGTCATCGTGGGCTCTCCGAGGCCGCTCGGGGGCCTCTTGGGCGTTTCTCGGGTGCCTCTTGGAGGCCTCTTGGGGCTTCTTGAGGCGCTCTCCGGACCTTCCTGGGAGCTCTGGAGGGCCTCTTGGGGCCATCTTGGAGGCGGTCGATCAAAAGAGGGGGTTCCCGTATCTCCGTCCCCCCCTCGGGGGCCACGATCCTCGTGAGGGGTGTCTAGAATTGGCCGTCCCAGGGGCCGAAAAAGGACGCTCGAACTCGTCGCGACCCCCTCCTAAAAAACCTCAGGGAGAGGAGGGGGAGGGCTCCCCTCCCCGAGGGGAAGAGAGGTTGTGGAAGAGGAAGGAGACCCTCGTTAGACCACCTGTCGCCCAAAAGGCTGGTGGGATTTAAGGGAGGAGGGAGGGGGAGAGGTCCTTGGAGCCGGTGTCGGCGCGGAGCTCGGTATGCTTGTGCGTGTCTGGCCGCGGAGTCAGAGGCCCGTTTGGGGGGCGGGGGCAGCAGCGCAACCGGTGCCTGGGCGGCGCGCACGCCTCTCCCCGTTTCTGGCCCGCCCTGCGGCGCGCATGGGGGGGGGGAAAAGGGGGTGTGAGGGGGGGCGCGGCCGAGGTGGCCAGAGGCAGTCCTCCTCCCAGACCCCATCGAGTCATCAAAAAAACACGACGGAAGGTTTTTCGCTATTTTTGGCCTCGGGGGGGCCTCGCCAAGCCTCAGGACCGTCAAAAAACGACTCAGGACGAAAATGCGGTCCTGGGGAATGGGTCCAGGCCTCTGGGGGTCGACTTTTTGAACAAATCACGACGTCGGTCGGGGGTCTCGGCTCCTCCTTCCCCAAGCCGGAGGTTCTTTGTCATGACGACGTGGGGCGCCCACAAGGCACGCGGGGCGGGTGGGCGCCGTGACAAAAATGTGGATGCCTGGCGCTGCAAAACCCGTGTTGTTGTCTGCCAATGGAGGGAGGGACGCCGTGCAAATTTTGTCACTGGACCCCTTTGGAGCTCACGGGGGGGACGAGATCCGTGTGAGGGCCGTGCCGGAATTGCTGGGGGGGCGCTTCGTAAACCCTGCCGTCCTCTGGGGCCGTAGGTCCAGACGCGCTGCTTGCGCCCTGCGGTCGGTCGGCCAAGGGCGTGGCCGCGAAGCGCAGCAGGTTGCCGCGCAGGTCAACCACCAGAAGGTATGGACCAATTCGGAGGTTCATGAGATGCAGAAGGCGAGTAGCAGGAGGATGCAGGGTTGGGTGCGGCTATACAGCGCTTTCACGATGGAGCAACTAATGGCTTGGGCCAACATGGCCACGGAGCCCGTCCCGTATCCTCGTCATACTCTTCCTCCTCTCTTCGTATGTCCTTCCTGTTCGTCTTTTCGGCACGTCTTGCTCCTCATTGCCGTGCTTACGATTCCCACTTACGCTACTCATCACCAGCACGGTACTCCTCTGGGTGCGCATACCCCGATTCGCTTCTCTGGCTGCCCGCCCCATCTCCGAACTCTCAGGTCAAGGAGTACCTGCAGGGCAACCCCGAGATTGCCAAGAACCTGCAGAAGTTCTCCAAAAACCCCGAGGCTCCGCTGCCAGAGGGCGACGGACATCCTCTTCGGCCCCTGGGGAGAGCGTGGAGGAAGCACAGCCGGGCGGCAAGGAGCAAGTCTCACCGACCGTGGCAAGCCCGAGAGCGGCGATAGGGCATGAGGGCATGACTGCCGCTCGCTCGGCCGCGTCGCGAGCGTCCTCGCCGCTCAGGGAGTCGCCCTGCTCCTGTTCAGGCGGCCGTGCGTGCGTTCGATGTGTGGGAGGGGGCGCGCAGGCGCTGCAGGTGGGAAGGGCTCTCCTTGCTGCGCGCCTGGAGGGTCAGGGTAGCAACGCCTCCTCCTCCTCCTCCTCCTCCGCCTCCTCCTCTCTCGTAAGGAAGGCAAGGACGTCGGCCAACGGCGCGCACCAGGGGCCGGCGCGAGGGGAGGGGAGGGGGGGCATTCCCTCTACTTCCAAGAAGGCAGGGGGGGGGGGCTTCTCGGAAGCCCTCGCGGCTTCTAAGAATCAAGGGAGGAAAAACCATCCGAACCCGACAGTTGGCGCTTACAAAACGACCCTGGGCGTTTACTAAACAGCCCTGCCCTGTTTGATTCTTTCTTCGGGTGCGTTTGCTAAACGACTTCGCGTGTCGGGGTGATTACTATGGGGGTGGATGTGTTGCCCTCCAAAGAAGGCAGGCTTCTGAGGGGCCTCTGGGCCATAGGGAAGCCCTTTGGCCTTCTGAGGCGGCACCCCGCCTCCCCAGAAGGCCAGCCCGCTCGCGCCATCCCCGTGTGCGCGCTGGGCCATGACCACTGGCGTCGCAGAGAGACCAGGCAGGATCCAGATCGATCCGATTCGACATGGATCCCGGCTGGCCCAATACTATCCGACTCCGACGATCCGATGCGGCCCGATGTTTGCAGGGCGTTGTTGCGCATATCGGCGCGGCCGATCCGACTCAGTTTCGACTCCGGGCCGATGCGGCCCGATGCGACGGACGTTGGTGGGACAGAAACCCCTTTGGGGGAAGTGCGTTCTGATCAGGACTTCGAGGAGAGCCCAGCCGTGGCCACGAAGGGAGGGTAGCGGTATCAGTAGATTCGCCTTCCCTGAGGCACCCCGAACGGATCCGATCCCCCGAGTTGGTGTTGATTGGTCCTGCCCCCATATCTCTGGCAGGATGGCAGGGTCACCCAAGATCGAATCGGAAGATCGGATCGGCAATGCACGTCGAGTCGGCAAGAATCGGCAGGCAGGTCGAAAGGCATCGATATCGACGCCTGGCGGCCCGAGCCGAGACCTCCGCAAGGAAATCCAAACCAAAGTCGGAATTCGGAGCCGAAGCGAAACGAAGTCGAAATCCTCGTCGAATCGATTCGAATCCAGTCGACCGCCCGGCCGCCCCCACCCACCCTGTCGCGGGCCGCGCGGGGCGGGTGGCCTCACCGAGCTCGGCGCGTATCCTGCGCTCCCGACCGTCGTCGTCGTCGTCGTCGTCGCCCGCTGCTCACGGAGGACGCGGAGGAGGAGGAAGAGGAGGAGGAGGAGAACCTTCGCAGGCTGCCTGCTTCGTGACGTAGATGATCCAAGTTTGCCTGGCGTCAAAACAGGGAAGAGGAACTTCCACCAGTCGGGAACAGAGGACGCCTGGGCACGACCACACGGGCTCGCCAGCGGGGAGGGGCAGCCGGAACTGCTCCGGTGCAGTCACAGGGTGTCGTTCGGGGATCGGTCCTCCTCCTCCTCCTCCTCCTCCTCCTCCTCCTCCTCCTCCTCCTCCTCCTCCTCCTCCTCCTCCTCTCCTCCTCCTCCTCCCTCCTCCTCCTCCTCCTCCTCCTCCTCCTCCTCCTCCTCCTCCTCCTCTCCGTAGCCATTTTGGCTCAAGGCAATGGACCATCCAAACGACCGCGAGTCTCTCGGGGCGTCATCTGAGCGCGAGGGAGGTTCTGCTTTGAGGCCACTATCCAAATCAGTCTCTTTGTGTCTAGCTATCCTTCTGTGCCTTCACTGCGGGAGTTGGGCCCCCGCCTGTTCGTCCTCTCTCGCGATGGCCGCTGCCTCCGACGTGCCTGTTGATGTGGCGATGATGACGCTCGACGATGAAGACGAGCAGCGTGGCAAGATGCGTCGGCTCATGGAGCCGCAGGGGGAGGGCAACGGCGCCCCCACAGACCCGCACGTGCAGCTCTTGAACGCGGTCAACTACATCAGGCGAGACATGGTCACCCGCGAAGATCTTCGCACAGACCTCCAAGGCATGAAGGTGCAGATCCAGTCGCAGGCCGACAACATTGCGGTCTTAGACACTCGCATGTCGAAGTTTGAGCGGGACACCAAGGCCTCATACGACGTAGTACAGAAGCTTGCGACGGCCACCATGGACGAGAAGCTCCAGAGCATGGCGCAGAAGTACGACGACAAGCTCAAGGAGCTCGAGGCGGCTACGCGGCGGTCTGCCGCCTCAGTCGCTGCTGCGAGCTCTTCTTCGGCCAGTTCTACCAGCAGTGGGCATTCGCGCTCGCTGCCTTCTCCAGACAGCAACCCGCTGCGTGTCTGGATCGCGGGGTTCCCGCGTGCATTGCTTGCGACCGTGCTTCAAAAACATGCAGATGAGCTCCTTGCACGACACGCCCCAGTCACGACAGCTGCCAAGCCAAAGATCCACAACTTCACGACAGCGTACAGCATTGCGTTCGAGACTAATGAGCAGGCCGAGGAGTTTGTGCAACGAGTCAAAGCCCTCGGTGTACAGTGGCACGACCCAAGGCTAACCAGGCGGTGGACCTCAAGGTGCGGATGGACGTGCCCGTGGAGATTCGCCGTGTGAACCGCCTGATCGGCATCCTCCGGTCCAAGGTGCACGAGACGGCCATCGCGAATAACAAATGGTCGGCTGGGTATCGGTTGGGAGCACAGGGATATCGCGGTAAGCTCTGGCCCATGCAGGGTGATGAAGTTGATGAACTGTTCACTGTCAAGGGTGCTGAAACGATGCAGACGGACATCCAGCCGAACATGCCCAAGTCGATGAGCCCGGGCTTCACCGAGCAGATGGTCAAGGTCGTCATCGATGCGCTCTTATGCTAGTGGCCGCCTCAGCCATCCCAGTCTTGGCCCAGCGGTCGCGTGCATGACCCCGCCGGTGACAATGTAACCTGGGCGGATGTTGTTTCGCCGCGACGTGAAGCGTGCAGCGTGGGTGCAGTGCCTTCGCTGGGCGGTGCTGCGGCGGCGGCTTGCGTTGGCGATCCAGATGCTCATTCGAGCCAGGCCAGCGAGAGCGCACCAGTGAGAATTCAATTATCTGAGCGGCAGCGGCAAGATTCCTGTGCAACTTTTCCCTCGCCTACTCCTACCACTGCTTCGTCGAGCTCCTCTGCCTCTTCGCCTTCCACGTCGTCTTCGAGTGCGACCTCCAGTTCTAGCAGTTCGGGTGACCCTTGCCCAGAGCCCCCGCGGACTTGCAGGCCGTTCGTGCCCTCAGACAAGTTCTCGGTGGCGTCCTGGAACGCTCGGTCTCTCATCGGTGCGATCTACTCGCCGCAGGGGTCTCATCGGCAGAAAATCAAGCAGGCGTTGCAGCTTCGTCGGGCTCATGATGTGGTGTGCCTCCAGGAGGTGCGTGGTACGCGTGAGTCTTTTCGGGTGTTACAACGTGAAGTCTTTCGACTTGAAGGTTATACGACGTTTCTTTCTAATCCTCACGGGGGGGGTGCATCATCGTCGTCAATCCTCGTCGCCGGGCCAGGCGCGGAAACCTATCGCACCGCGTGATCGTTCCGGAACGGGTTCAAATTGTTCTTCCGCATGATGAGAAATCGGCACTTCAAATTATCAATATTCACAGCGACCCCGGGCTGCGAGTTTGCGATCGCCAGCAGCAGTTTCGGGATATTCGTTCGCACCTCTGCCCGCGTGCGCAGCGCACCGCTATCATTGGAGGTGATGTCAATTTCTGTGCTCTCGGAGAAGGCAGCGTCCACGCTGATGGGCGCGTGGTCACTGCCTCACATAGTCTTGCCAAGTTCCCCCACTCGGTGTTTCCGTTTGCCCTGGAGATTGAGCAAGTTGCATTCACTCATCGTGTTGAACGAAATTGCATCGGAGCTTCCGAAGTGGTGTCCCTGGCGAGACTTGACAGGCTTTATCTTACGTTACCACCTGCGGTGGATCTGGATCCGGCGCCGAGCTCTGGGACACTTGGTTGCGCTGCCAACGTTCGCACCTTCTCCGACACGTCCCGATCTACGTTTCCCTGGTTCCGAGAGCTAGCACGATGGGGAGTTTTCGTCTCGAACGTTGGGTTGTTCGTCACCCGAGCTTCCCTGTGACCCTGGAGGCCGTCCTGGATGGGGCTGGAGAGCTCTCTCGAGACCCTGCGACACGAGTTGGGGAAATCAAGGCGGCGATGCAACTAAGTGCCAGGAGGGCCAAAGCCTTGCTTGAGGAGCGCGGGGCATCGACGCCCCCCGAGCTTCTTGCCTGGTCGCTCGCTGCCATGCGCGCCGCGACGAGCCAGGCCCCGTCCATCTCGCGGCGTGCTCTCCACGCCTACCCCAAGCTCCCCCTCTTCTTCAACGCTGACGACGGGACGTTCACTAACTTCCTCGCCTTCCACACTCACCTCGCCTCGCTCCAGCAGCAGATGATAGACGAGCAGACCCAAGACCTTCAGAATGACGACCGTCTGGCGAACGTGCAAAAGACGACGAAGACGAACCAACTTTATGCATACCGCAGCGCGTGGAACGCCACTGCGGCCAGAATCTCCCCCCAAGCAGTCGCTGATCCGCTAGGGCAGCCTGCCCTGTGCCCGAGTGCGGGGGCCCAGCTTCTTGCTTCGCACTGGGGCCGCATTCATTATGATGTCCCTGCTGAGCTTGCGCCTCTCCGCGAATTGCTCTGCCACGTTCAGTCTGCACTTGCGGGGGTATTGCGGGAGGCGGAGGAGGGCGAGTCCGATGAGATTCTCGAGATGACCCATGACAGCGCCCCAGGGCCAGATGAGATCCCGCACAGTGTTTAGGCACGTTCTGGGGTGGTGGGCAGA